AAATAAAAGGAAATACATAGTACAGGATTTGATTTTATCCATTCGGAATGAATTGGATCATGAATGTAAGAAATCCTAGAGTTTGCAGTTAATTGTTGAGAATTACACCACTGGCACCTTTTGGTTAAAACTAATATTCCACTGTTTTCACTTGATACAAATGCATGATGTTATAAGTAGTGGGCGGAGCTTCGGGTCACTGTTTATGGAGGGCCCACACATTTTGTGGTATGCCACTGGGTGAAGAAAGTAATCTTGAGCTCAGTGTGGACTGAGAAATTGTGCACAACAATACCAGGAATGTGCATTAAGAAAGTAAATTAGCCAACATTAAATAGCCAGCATGCAGAAAAGCCAAAGCACTACTAAACATGTAGACATACATGTTCTGTAATTAAACTCTCATAATAAGACCGCTGTGAACAGCATGCGATTAAGTTAGCTAATGTGCTATCGCATGTGCTGCCTGCTGCTCTTTACATTACAATAATGTAAAGCTTGTTTGACTGCTAATTGGGCCAATTTATTTCATTCTAAATATGTTCAATCATTTCATTCATATAAAACATGTTAATTTATTGTATTTATTCACTAATTCATTCATTCACATTTGTTCATATTATTAATTACTCATTAATTTAAAATATTTGCTCTTTCATTTAATCAATCAATCCAATCATTCATTCATTTGAAAATACTTGTTCATTCATTTTATTTTATTTATTCTTTTTAGTTGATTCATTCTTTTAAAGAACTCATTTAATCATTTAAAATTGTTTTTAATGAATTCATTCAAAACATTTAGTTTAATCACTTATTTAAAAATATTTCCTCATTCATTTTAATTCATTCAACAATATTTGTTCATTCATTTTATTTCGTTCAGTCACTTAAAACATTATATTTAATCATTCATTCAAAACTACTGTTCGTTCATTCATTCACTCACTCATTGTTTTTAAAAATATTTGTTCATTTATTTCAATAATTAAACTATTTCATTATAATCATTCATTCTTTAAAAAAATTAATTTCAGTGTTCATTCATTTTCAATGTTTTCATTTTAATTATTCCTTAGTTCGTTTAAAATATTTTCCCAATTATTATGTTTATTAATTAATTAATTAATTCAAGAATATTTCATTCATTACATTCATTCAAGAGATTTATTGGATTTAGTCATTCATTCATTGAAAATTACTGTTTGTTTATGTTATTTATTAATATGTTAAATTATTGATTGATTGATTGATCAAATCATTCTTTTAAAAATATATTCATTTTATTTATTTATTAGTTCATTTAAACATATTTCTGTCATGACAACTCTCGGAGGAATTGGTATGGTAATGTATATGACAATGTTAATGTATTTGGTCTTGGTTGAAAAGATCTGCTACGCTGCTGCTGCTGCTGCGGCAGAGCAAGTACCGAGACTTGCTACTGCAATACATCCACAACATGCTGCTGTGAGCATGTAAGAAATATTGCTGCTGCAAATATAACATACATGAAATAACCCCAATATAGCATACATGAATCACCTCACATCAGATCTATACAGGTGGAGCTGGGGAAGGTGAAGGGTTTCTGAAGCAAGCTGCAACTGCTACGGCAAACACTAGTCATATATTTGAATGTTGAGCAGCGAGCTCATTGGCTACCGATACAGGAGAGAACCAATCAGCTGCCATGTGATAATGATGTCATTAGGTCAGATTGAGTTAGACCTATCGGACTGCGCCATCTAGAGTTTCATGCCAGAACTCTTTATTTGTCCATTCATTTTATGTACTAATTTATTCATTCTTCCATTCCAAACATTCATTCATTCATTCCAATGAGCTTTTTGCTGTTTTATTAAAAATGGCAGTCTGGAGAAGACATGAATGTTGTAGGACGGGGTGATTTCAGAAATTAAGTTGAGGTTAAACTTCTGTCGTCTGCAGATAAGCACCAAATGCATCATGTCAGAACCGGCACGACCCAGCAGGCCACGTCTCCGACCACGTTTGTGTTTGTAAGAATAAATACTTCAATCCTTAGACATGCAGATGCTAAACAGATACTGTTTATTAGGTTTTTATAGGAAGAAACACTTCAGCCAGAACTGCTGCTTTGATTGCAACCATAAAAATATTTATTAAACATCATTTAAATGTAGATCTCTACCAGCAAACAACATGTGCGTTACAATTTTAAACTATCACTGGGCCAATAAATATGCAATTTAAGAGCTCACAGTGGACTGAGGGAAACATTTAGTGCCTCAGCGGCCAATATAAACCTGATACCATCAAAAGCATCAGGAGACGTTTATTACCACAACCAAACTAACATGCAGCTCGCTTTGCCCCGTTTCTCCATTAACCTGCAGACCAGAGGGGTTGAAATTAACCTTCAAATAGGAAAATATTCAGTTAGCCGCTGATCATATCAACAAACAATTTCTGTTCAGGAGAGATTACGACATCTGGATGGCGTTAATGTGTCAGAAAGTGACTTTAAAGGTCACATATTGTACACCTTTCTGGAGTTTTATTTTAGGTTTTGATGTCCTTAAGAATATATATTTGCGGTATAAGTACCAAAAACCATCTCAATATGTTTTTACAGCTCCTCTCTCAGGAGCTCTGCTGAGAACAGGTCGATTTTGGCCTGTCTAATTAATATTCATGAGTCTCTCTTCTGATTGGCCTGTTGTTTTCTGAGTGACGCACGGCCAGGCCAACCACAGGTAACGTCACAGCGCTAGCTGGAGGCAGCAAAACAAAGGGGAAACTGGAGGCGGCCCATTCAAACCAGCGCAGATTCGGCTACATAAGGAGCTTAAAATATCATCTTGTTGTGATGTTGGGTGCCAGAATCGACGTAATACAGCCTCAAATTAGAAATTTGATCGCATATCTGCTGCCACTGCCAGACAAAAAAAAAACGACGACAGCTGTGGTTAAACGCGATAAAACGAGCAGATTGACAGAAACGATCGTCAAAAATGCTCGCGTTTGCAGCGCACACTTCTTATCAGAAAAGGTTCAATAAAGTATTATCTTTTGTTGTTATGGGCACGTCTACAGATTTCTTGCAATATGTCTATGTTTCTTGCATCTCACGATTATGTCGTGTATGAAATAATGTCTGTGCATGTGTGTAAAACAACAAACTGACGATTTATATATAATCATTTGTAATTGTATATACATTGTTGTGATTAATTGTGGCTGGAACAATAATGTAGCTGTAAAAATAGTTGCCTGCTGAAATTGAAATGTATATAAATCTTCATCATGACTAGATAGACACGGTGAGTTTGTCTTTACTATACACGTTAGATGTGATCCACCTCATAGTAACAATCCTGTCAGATCGTCCATCCTTTGAGTGAGAGTGTAACGTTACAGGTCAGCCGATCTGGTTTCGTGGTTAAAGTTAACCTTTTCACATGTTTCCGTGTTGTTGTTGCTCAGCAATGGCATGGACGTGATGTTGTTTGGGGGTTTGGCAAAAGGAGAGTGGGATGGTGGGCGGTGCTCGGGGTGGTGACTGAAGGCGGTGACTGTGTAGTTCTGATGTCAACTTTTTTACGGAAGTCACAACGGTTCCTGAAAAATCAAAGCTACTTTATGCAGGCTGTGTGCATTTTACTGTGGACTGACTGTTTTGAAACTAATATGATAGTTAAATAGCCCCTAGACCTCAGTTATCGTGAAAAAAACCAGGAAATTTCAGTTTTGACAATATGGGACCTTTAAAGAGTCGTTATGGATGTTAGCAGTGTGACAGCTAATAAACTCCACCTCTGCAATGTGTCCCATGAACGTCATTGAGGCGTAAATCTTTTCATATATTCACTTTTATTAGCCCATGTGAGATTTGGGTTCATAAATGTGTTTGCGTGTTCGTTTCATGTCCACTTGAGTGTCACTGTCACTCTAAATTTTCATAGACTAAAAGTTACAATTGTAGACAAATCTTTTATCTGATGAAGTGAACATGCAAATGAAAGAAAGTACGTTAATATAGACACATTAATAATTATCACTTAAAGGTCAACGATACTAAGAATCAATGAGCATCAAGTAAAAACACCACACAACGCTACAAACTAGCAATGACAAAACAAACAAACAAAAACAAAATCAGCAAACAGCAAAACAACAACAACAACAAATCCTACATCAGTAACCGCATGAATGATTCATGCTGCAATGCATTTTCAAAAATATAATAATTTGTTCAGACATCTCTCTTACGCTAGTTGGACAACATTTGAGGGAATAGTATTGTTCTAACACATTTGATGTAGATTACTGTATGTAATTCACATTGTTACCTGTGATGAAATGAAATCTTGTGGATAAAATGAAATATTTACCTGTGAAATTCTGTGGACTGGATAGGCTTTGTGTCTGTATTTGTTTGTTTTGTTTTCGGTTCGTTTGGTTTTGTTTTGTGTTGTTTTGCTTTCTGTTTTTATTTGTTTGGTTTTTGGTTTTGTTTTGCTTTGTAATTTTTGTTTTTGTTTTTGCTTTGCTTTTTGCTCTGCTTTGCTTTACTTGTTTTGTTTTTTTTTTCTTCTTGTTTTGTTTGGTTTTTGCTTTTTTGTTTGTTTTGTTTTGCCCACAATTCCTTCATTTCTTTTGTACTTTGAAACTCTGTCATCTTGCTTCACGCAGTGAAAACGGGCAAATTAATTGAGAGAATTTTTGAATTAATTTCATGGTTGGAAGCCACTAGTTCATTTCCAACTGTGGTCAGATGAGTTCTTAACATCAGACTCTGACACATCTGTCATCAGGGGCTCCCACAGGCTCTTGTAGACTAGCAGCGCTGAAAGAAAGAAACAGGGATAATTGAAAAGCATCTCATTACAGGTTCAGATGCAACTAGTCGAGCTGACACAAGGGCAAATATACTGTATAATATAAAGCGTTAGTGTGAGAACTCCAGTTGCAGTTTTCACATCTCGTTTTCTTCTCCTTCATTTGCTCTCGTACAGTCACAGGGACCTGAAGCCGGAGAACCTGTTGCTGGATGAGAAGAATAACATCAGGATAGCAGACTTCGGCATGGCGTCCCTGCAGGTGGGAGACAATCTGCTGGAAACCAGCTGTGGGTGAGTGAAACTGAGCGTCATTATAACACTAATGATAAAGACAATCACTGCCTTCAGCTAAGACCGAAAATATTTCAGATTTATGTTATTGAATTACATATAAAATTTACACAGTTTTAACAGAAGCAATCTAAACTTAATGTGATGCATATTGGCCAGGAATACATAGATGATACAGCTAAGAAACAGGCAGGTTTTCTGTAATATTACTAATAACCTGAATATGTTTTAAATGCACAAAAACTTGGTTTATATGGTTATTATTAATTTATCGAATTTGCTTCAATCTCATTTTAAGTAATGTTCATAATGTTCATACTTTTTAATGCATAAATTTAATTGTTTTCACAATAAACAGATTTATGCTGATTCAGTTTGAATCAATGCACTTTGAAAATTTAAATAAAATCCAATGAATTAAACATGAAAGATTTTTAGTCAAAAAAAATTGTATTTTGTTTTTTGTTTTGTTCAGGAGCAGACCAGAGGGGTCTTGCTTTTTGATTTGTGTTTTGTTTTGCTTTTTGTTTGGTTTTGCTCATAATACATTTGTTTCTTTTGAACCAAAAAAATAATAAATTAAATTAAATTAAAATTGAATCTGTCACACAGCAAATAAATAAATAAAAGTTATTTATTTATTTAAAAAAAGTTTTTTGTTCAGATTCTGAGCAATTTATATGAATGCTTTTTGAAAATATGATATTTAAATAAAATCAATTATGTATTCATGGTTTTGTTTTGTAACTATTTGCATCTTTGTGACTAGGGCTGGGTATCGATTCAGATGTCCCGATTCGATTCGATTTCGATTCGCAAGCTCTCGATTCGATTCGATTCTCGATTTTTTTATTACATTCAGTGAATATAGTTTTAATACAAATGCTATTGGTATTTCAAAAAAATTAACAGTAAACATCAGTTTACAAATGGTGAATAAAAAGAAATTAAAAACCACCTGCCTGTATTTTAAACCTATACTTTTTTGTATGGGTCCTTTTTTAAACAATAATAGGGCCCTATAAAATAATGAATGACAGGCTTTCTGTTGTAACATCGCGCAAAGTAAATAAGGGTGACATCTAGTGGAGAAGACTAATGATAAGATTCACGTTAATCAGATCTTGTTTTAAATGTGCGCTGAAATAAATCCTGGAAAAGATCGATTCGTGGCTTTTGAGAATCGATATCGAATCGATGTCATTTAAAAAAATGATTTATCGAAAAATTGTTTTTTTTTGCCCAGCCCTATTTGTGACCAACAAATATGCATCACATTAAGTTTGTAAATGTCTTTATGTTCAAACTGTGTAATTCAAATGGATGAAAATTTATATGCAATTCAAATACACAAATCTAAAATTTATACCTAAATATTTCAGTCTTTTGGTCAAAAATGTCTATTTTTTAATGTACTCCAGGGTTGCCTGTAACGATGAATGAATGTTGGGTATAAAAGCACATCACAGCAAAGTCACAAGCACATGTGTATTTGTGTCAGTTTATATATGGAGATTACACTTATTAGGGGTCTTTCTACACTTTTGTATTTAATTTTTTCCTGTGAACTCCAGTTATATCGTTAGTCAAGTTTTCTTGGTTGTAATTTAGTTCTTCATAAGCATTTTCAATCCTCATTCTGACCCATATACTTCAGAATGGCTTTTTTTTAGGATTGGTCTGTTATGATTCAACTTTTTTTTAATTAATTTTTTTTTATGTGAAATGAGTAACAGCATCTCTGCCAAACTGTTGGGACAGACTAGCAAGGAGATTTGAGGTGTGAATATTCAGTATTATGAATGCACATCTTTAACTCATAAATGTCACAGTCTGCATCAGCTTCTTATTTTACTTCATCTAAATTGTGAACTGTCAGAAGTAGTTACTGATTAGGCGAATCTCATGAAAACTGTCTTGAAATGTCTGCTACATATTTCATCACAAAATATCTTGTGAAGTGAAAAAGCAGCTTATTTTAGTACAGTATGATTGTTGTCCAGTTTTTCTTTGTTTTCTTTATGATTTTCTTGTGATACTGGAGTGAAATATGACATCTCGTCTAAGATTCAGCCAGTTGTGTCGCTGTCTTCAGCTCCTTGTCAGTCACACAGAGTCCACACTGAGAGAGAGAGAGAGATTTGTATCCTTTGCTCGCTCAGCCAGAGGTCATGTGTGACTGTAGACAAGCTCATTCAGGAGTAAAGTGTTACTTTGAATCACAGCAGCACATTACGCTGCTCATTCTCTGATTCTCCGACCGCCACAGTCACTCGCTATAGCACTGATAGAAAGTTCAAAAGATCGTTTATACGAAAAAGAAATCTTTTGTAATATCGTGATAGTCTATAATTTCACTTTTGATCAATATTATGCATGCTTTTTTGAATAAAAGTATCAATTTCTTGCAAAAGTAGTGAAGTTTAGGCGTATTTTAAAATTGCTTTTATTCATCAATTTCCCAGTTGAGTTTAAATGAGGTGCACTTTAATGGGAAGTCAATCATGTGGAAGCAACCAATGAACTTTGGGCTGAATTGTATGACCCGCCCCCGCTGACATCATCAGTGTGAATAGCTGTGGTGAAAACCAGCGCTTGCTTTTCTTTTGTTGTTTCTTCCAGGACTCATTTATTGCCTTTTATTTCTTTCTTAATGTCATTATTTCTCCTTTCAATAACTGACTTTCGCCCCCCACATATGCTGTAAAAGCGTCTGTCTTTCGTCAGTAGATTAATTTTGCCGTGTTCGCCCGACCTTTAGGATTACAGCCAGACACGGCCGTAGATTAGAGCTCAATGCTGTAAAATCACCGAGGCAGTTTCCGTACAGAGTCACCTGACGTTATAATTACGGCTCTGCTGAGGTCAGACCGGACCGTCCTGTACCTCTGTGTGCGCTGGCGTCACGATCTCACCGCGGGTCAGGAGCTACAGGACTTTGTGTCACAAAGGAAGTCACAGTTACCTCGCAGCGGCGTGACTCAACATCATACTCAACAACTATCAGGATGAAGCCGAAAATCAGCTCCGAAACAGATCTGTGTTGATTCTGAACCCAATGTCCTTGACGTTTACACTGAGCCCGAAACTATTTTAAACCTCTTGAAAGGGTTTATTTTGTGACAGTGTCTGGCTGACTGTACATTACCACACAGATTACTTGATAAATAAATTTCCAGGTGTGAAAAACTTGTTGCATCAAAAAGACTCATGGCTGTATTAGATCAAATGGGTGCTTCTACTAAATACTGAGCATTTTTCAGTTTTTCTTTTTTAATAAATCTGCAAAGATGTCAACAATTCTGTGTTTTTCTGTCAATATGGGGTGCTGTGTGTACATTAATGAGGGAAAAAAATTAACTTAAATGATTTTAGCAAATGGCTGCAATATAACAAAGAGTGAAAAATTTAAGGGGGTCTGAATACTTTCCGTACCCACTGTATATGTATTAACTTTTATGTGAAAGAAGAGCACTTTTAGGGAGAGACAGGCATTTTGAGAGATGTTTATTTAATTTATTAATTTCATTTATTTGTCCATTTAGAAATATTTGTTCATTCATTTAATTAATTTAGTAGTTCATTTATTCATTTAAAATTATTTTTATACAATACAATTATTTATACGCTTATTGAAACATTCGTTCTTTTACAAACATTTGTGTTTTTTTTGTTGTTTGTAAAGTTTGTTCTTTTTATTTATTTATTTTTCATATTTGTTCATTTATTCTGTTTATTTATTATTCCTTTCATTCATTTAAAAATATTGTGTCTATTTATCCAGTCATTCACCCTTTTAAAATTTTTTTGTTTTATTTGTTTTATATATATATATATATATATATTTATATATT